TAATAGAATGGTTTGGTTTGGAAGGCAGCTTAAAGCTCATGAAATTCCAGCTCCCTGCCACAGGCAGGGACACCTTCCAGTAGAGCAGGTTGCTGCAATCACCATCCAACCTGTCCTCAATCATTTCTGTTGGTCAATAATGTCTAATGCAGTAGAGCCTCAAAGCTCAGCATGTACAGATCACTTCCTGGACAGAATAGGAAAGCAAAATGGATGTCGGCAGTGTTCTGGCTGTGTGTTTGCTTTTATAAAGGTTGCTAATAGCAGATACTAAATTCCTGATGAGGGGTTTCTATTCTGCATGGATGGATATGAAATTATTGCCTAGAAGATACTAGTGTTGGTTTGCTCTTTTTAGAGCCATAAGAAAGGAACTTTTCCCCATAAACCTGTGCCAAAAGGGGTTTCAGGAAACATGGAGAGGGGCTTAGGACAGGTGCCTGCAGGAACAGGCCAAGGGGAATGGCTTTAACCTGCTAGAGGGGAGACTGAGATGAGCTCTTAGGCAGAAGCTCTTCCCTGTGAGGGTGCTGAGGCGCTGGCACAGGGTGCCCAGAGAAGCTGTGGCTGCCCCATCCCTGGCAGTGTTCAAGGCCAGGTTGGACACAGGGGCTTGGAGCAAGCTGCTCCAGTGGAAGGTGTCCCTGCCCGTGGCAGGGGTTGGGGCTGGAGGAGCTTTAAGGTCCCTTTCAACACAAAGCAGGCTGGGATTCTATGATCCTGGCCCATGAAATTGTCCTTAATACACAAACATGCCAACACACTGACCCTCCAACTCACTGGCTTTGGACATGAGCCATCTCTGTCAAGCAAGGCAGCTGTAGAAGTGAACTTTGTTGTTAACAAAGAAGAAAGTTTTTTTCTTGTTATCCCCAGCTAATTAATCTCTGATGGCTTGTTATGAAGAGTGAGGGAAGTCACATCCAAGTTTTCTGAGAAGCTTTTGTGGTGATGAGGAAACTTCCTTGGTAAACCCCAGAAGGTCTTGTTAAAGCTGATGACTCCTGGAAGGGTGCTTGGTCCCCAAGGACCACTTCTTGCTTTGGCAAAGTGAGCAGCATCGCTTGTGATGGAAATAGCTGTGAGTGCTTGTATTGTGAAAGCCTGGATTTTGGGCCTGCTGGAGGGCTTTCTGTGCCCATGCAAGCTTGGTCCTACTCTCTCTTTAAAGACACATCCCTGTCTTCATGACATGTGCAGATCATGTGGTTCTTGCTAATGGGGTGCTTTGTCCCTTCCTACTTTTGACCCCTAATAAAGGGAGCTGGGGAAGCTCATTGCATTTCTCTTCACTTTTCAGCCTCCTCAAGGACACTTCATACATTGAATTTCTTGTTATTAGCTGTCTTGGGATGGATTTATTTGTGTCTCTCTTTAGTTCTTTACCTGTTAAAAATGTTCTTAAACTGTTAAACCGAGGCATTTTGAAGTGCACTACATCCATCCTCCATGTCTGACTGGCTTTCATAAATGTGATTTTCCTACCATTATGAATTTGGGATTGGAGAATAAGCATGGGTCACCCGACTCAACATCTAAAATTCATTGTCTAGTTATGAGATAGTCAGGTCCCTTCTAGGGTGGTTTGGAATAAAAGGATGTTTTATCACATCCTAGGACAGCTGGTGAGAATGCATGTGGTCCAGAGCAGGTCTGAACATCAGAAGGACTTGTATATGCATCTCAGAATAGCTTTCTCTGGATTGAACTAATTCTAGTCAGGATGTGAAGGCCTCCTAGAGGTCAAACTGCATCAGTTGCCCCCTCAAAACTATTTTCAGTTTGTTTTAATCCAAAAGACAGGACAAGAGGAAACGGCCTCAAGATGCACGAGGGCAGGTTTAGATGGAGCTGAGGAACAATTCCTGCCCCAGAAGGTGCTCAGGCATTGGAAAGGCTGCCCAGGGCAGGGCTGCAGGCACCGGCCCTGCAAGTGTTTACAAACCCTATAGACAAGGCCCTCAGTGCCATGGGTTAGTGGTGGCCTTGGCAGTGCTGTTGTAAGGGTTTGACTGGATGAGCTTGAAGGGCTTTTCCAACCTGGTTCATTCAATGAGTCTAAAAGGAGCCCAGTTCATGCAGCCTGACCCCAGCCTCTGATGGGGATGGAAACACAGTGAGGGGAGAACACTCTGTGTGTGTGTCTTCCAACTTGAACTCTTGAAACTGCTCTTTTTATCTGAACAAATACTAGAGATACAAAAACACACCTTCACTGAGCACAGATGGAGACACAAAACTGTGATTTAATGACTCAGCTTTTAATTATCTAAATTCGAAGAAGGTGAAACTACTTCAGATCTCCTAATCCCTCCTCCCAACACTCTTAAAAGAGGTATTTTAGTTTTCCTTTCAGTTGGACTAAAACTTCATACAGGGGGAAAACATATAAGATAATTGAAGGACTAAGAAACCACTTTCTTTGCATGTTTTCCTAGAAGTGGTGGGGAAACTTCATTTAAGTTGCAGGGAAGGAGACAGATGCAGTGAAATGCCCCAGGTCAGGTTTGGTCTCCCTTATATAGAAATGTGGTGCCATTTGCTCTGTCCTGAACGGCCCAGGACATTGCCATGCACTTGACATGTACATCCTGCAACCTTCAGAAGGGTTGGGTCATTCTGGAGCCACATCTGAAAGCTCAGAGTGAGCCCCAGGGGCATTTCCATGGTGTTAATAGTCAATGTTCAGGCAACTGAACTCCGTCCCAGATGCTTTTATGCTTCCTGACATGGTTCATCCAATCTGATCCACCTACCCATGCTCATGTGAATGTTTCATTGCGATAATGGTCTAGGACTATGGAATTATGTCTGTGTGGTGCAGTCATCATAGTGAAGAAATAACTGGGACAGCTCAGGAACAGACACACGTTACTTCATGACTTCTGGTTACCCAAAGCAGTGGTAAGTGCTCCATCCCTGGCAGTGTTCAAGGCCAGGTTGGACACAGGGGCTTGGAGCAAGCTGCTCTAGCGAAAGGTGACCCTGCCTGTGGCAGGGGGCTGGGACTGGATGATCTGAAGGGACTATATGGTATCTAAAGATGAGAATTGCTAACTAATTGTTAGGTTAACAAGGCTGTCATATGAATATCATCTTTAATGTTCATGTCAATAGAGGCCAGGTTTTGAATCATCTTCAGAAAAACCAATATTCTTCTCCAAAACATTTAGGCTGATCTAACAGCACCTGAAGCAGAGGACAAAGAGACCCATGTCCAGCTCTTCCTACCAAAAAGGTGCTTGCTATTTGAGGTATCAGAACCATTTATGCAGAGGACCCCCATCATGTATTTGATGTGGGAAGTTTGTGTCTACAGCCAAGGGTTGCTGCATTTTATAGATCCCTTCTCTGCCAAGATTGAAACAAAATTCATACAATGATGCTCTCAGTATGAAATGTATTTCCAAAACCTCAAGCCTGTTTCTTGTGTTGCTGGAATTCACCATGCTGCCTCCCCAGCATGTTAAACTGAGGTTTCTATTGCCAGCTCACTGAGCAGTTTCCTCCACACAAGACTATGGCAATCTAGAGCTCTATTAGTGAAGTAGCATCTAGTCTGGGTAAATGTTTGACCATTTCAGTTGTCTCTGAAATGGAAACTTTCTTAAACACAAGAGGAAATAAGGACACCAGAGTGGGCTAATTCATCAAGCAGCGATGAGCCCTACACAGGACACTGCTCATCTAGACTCCTGTTTACACAGAAGCTCAGACCAGAGTATCTTTTGAGGCCCAGCCTGGGCTTTCTGTGGCTCTATGATTCTATATGTATAGTCTAAGCCAAAATATCCAACAAAATGGAAGAAAACAAGATATGGTTAAAGTTTTGAAGGAAGCCCTCTGATATCCAAGGTGCCAAGCCCTTTAGCATTTAATGATACAGATTCTGGCTCCTTCATTGACTGCAGGTTGAAGCCACGTTGCCCCCACACCTATGACAGTGTATGCTTTCATACTGTTGTTTTTCTGAGCACATAAAAATTCTGTTCACCATCCATATACTTTCCCAATATAAGTTAATTGCCACTCACAGCAGGTAAGGGAAAGATACTTTCCCCCATCAGTGTGTTTTGGCTTTATTGAGACCCAGACAGCTCTCACTTACCATCAATTCTTTGTTCTTTCATTTATGGAAGCTTCCTACAAAGTTAATTCTAATGTGAAATAGACAATTTGGTTTTCGTGGTGTGCTTGAGCATGAGCAGGGCATGGACATGGGATATGGGTGCTTACCTCCAAGTGGAATTCCGTTTCTCTCACCATTTAGGTAAAAGGTTATTTCAGATGAATGTAAAACACCACGTAAAATGAATGGGAGGAGATCTTGATGTTCCCAAAATGTCCCTAACACTGGGTGGTCTCAGCACAGTCCATGATCCTCCATTATGAATTATATTGTCTATAACTTTTTCCTTTAAATGAAATCTCCTATGAAGCTGCAGCCTGGGGAGGGATTCCCTTTAACATTCAAAGGCGCAGCTTGAATCTTTATTCCCACCAGCTTCTGCTCCTTGAAAGGCACAAACAAATGCAATGAATGTTTTGAAACCTTTTCTGTGACTCTTTTTCAGCAAGCAACTGTAAAACTACACTTCCTCTTCCCTCCCACCCCAACAGCTTTAATAAAGAGCTCACAGGTAAGAGTGAGGAATTTTATTGGAGCTGAGGGAGAAGGTCAAGAATCTTGCAAGAAAAATAGATATTTATCAGTGACAAAAGTTATAACTGAATAAAGCTGATTGGTGTTTTCTGTGAGGAAAAGAGGCCTGGGATAATTGAGGGTAATTTCTTCCTACAGGCTACTAACTATGAAGTGAAATGAAGTATGAGGTGCCTCTCCTTTTGGTTTCCTTCCAAGGAAGGGAATTGGGATTTGGGGGATCTATATCTCATTAAAAACTGTAATTGAGTTTTGTGCAGGAAGCATGGAAGGATCTACATCAAATCATGGGGAGTATTGGGAAAAATTCCATTGTTTTAGTGCCCCATAGGCTTTCTCACTTGAGATGAACTGTTCGTGTCCTGGATGACAGAAAGCTTCTGTGTTGCCAGCAGCTGAAAATCCTCCTCCCGCATTTCACCAGAGACCCCTTCACCTCCCTGTTCCTCAGGCTGTAGATGAAGGGGTTGAGCATGGGGATGAGCACAGCATAGAAGATGGAGGCCACCTTATCCAGGCTCCTGTGGCTAGAAGGAGGTTGTAGGTACATGAAGAATCCTGTCCCAAAGTACATGGAAACAGCCATCAAATGGGAGGCACAGGTGTGGAAGGCTCTGGCCCTGCTCTGTGCTGAGCACATCCTCAGCACAGTGTGGATGATAGACATGTAGGAGAGAAAAATAACCACGATTGCACCCACCGCATTGATGGTGACGAAGGCAAAGATGACCATCTCACTGCTGTGAGTGTCAGAGCACACAAGCTTTAGCACAGGGAAAAGCTCGCAGAAGAAGTGGTCAATGCTGTTGGGACCACGGAAGGAACCTCCAAACGTGCACCAAGTGTAGGTGATGGCAGTGAGGAAGGCAAATAGGTAAGATAATGCTACCAGCTGCCAGCAGACACGGCTGGAGATGATGGTCACATAAAGCAGAGGATGGCAGATAGCAATGTGCCTATCGTAGGCCATCATGGCCAGGAGGTGACACTCACTAATAGCAAAGAAAGCAAAGGTGAGGAACTGCATCATGCAGCCAGTGAAAGAAATGGTTTTGTCCTCTGATAACAGGTCTGCCAGCATCCTGGGGGAGATGACTGTGGAATAGCAGATGTCAGTGAAGGCAAAATGGGTGAGGAAGAAGTACATGGGGGTGTGGAGGCTGGGAGACACCCGCACCAAGATGATAATGCCAAAGTTCCCCACTGTCGTGGTTTAAACCCAGTCAGGTAACTTGTTCACTCACTCCCAGTGAGTGGTGCCGAGCTGACAACAATCAAGGTCCGTGTCCGTCTCCCCCCCCCCCCCACCCTGCACCGGGGCTCTCCCCTTCCCCGCTCCCGGAGGAACGGGGAGGAGGATCGAGAGAGTGCAACTCCTACGGGTTGAGACAAGAACAGTCCAGCAACAAATCACCACCGCTACTATCAGCTAAAACAATGATAAGGGAAAATAACAAGGGAAGAGAATATGATACCACCGGCCAAGAAAACGAGTTCCACCCGGAAGCTCCTGTCCTTCCGGGTAACTCCCAGTTACCCCCCACCCCGGGCATGACGTGCTGTGGTATGGAATACCTCCCCGGCTAGCCCGGGTCAGGAGCCCCGTCTCTGCTTCCTCACAGCTTCCCCTCCTCCCTGGCAGAGCATGAGCCTCACAGAGTCCTTGGTCAGGGTAAACATCACTTAGCAACAACCGACAACATCGGCTTCACCAACGCTGTTCTCAAACTAGAAGTCAAAACACAGCACTGCACCAGTTAACACAAAGGAAAAAACATGACTGCTACTGCTGAACCCAGGACATTATCCACCCCTTATTCCATACCATTCACGTCGTGCTCAGATCCCACATTTTCAATACACCATCGCTCTCCCACATATATACATCCATATACATACAGACCAAGAGGAAAAAAAATCATTTTCTTAGTGCATGGACCAATCCCGATAATGCTGCCGAGTCCATTCGGTCCATGATGTTCCAAGTTCATTCTCTGTTGGGATGATGGCTGGAGGGAAGTCAGGGCCAGTCGCTGTCTCCAGGTCAATCTAGTTGATGGGCTATAAAAGCATTACACAGCAGGCAACAGTATACAATTGAGTTCACTGGCTGTTTTCCCCTAAAATCAAATCCCCTTGAGGTATACATCGGACTTCCCCATCTTCCCGCATTACCCACCAAGTATATCCAGGTCCCTGAGCAAAAGCAATCCCACGAGTGGGTTTGCCTTTACCTGAAGCAGGAATAACCCAGACTGTCTTCCCCAGCAAATTCTTCATATGCACCACGGGAACTTTGTCCCCCTCTACAATATGTAAAAGTTCTGACTGGGCTGGGCCAGCCCTGTTGGCAGATCCTCTGGTGTTGACCAACCAGGTGGCCTTTGGTAAATGTGTATCCCAATGCTTGAAAGTTCCCCCACCCATCGCTCTCAGTGTAGTTTTTAACAGCCCATTGTACCGTTCGATTTTCCCAGAGGCTGGTGCATGGTAGGGGATGTGATATACCCACTCAATGCCATGCTCTTTGGCCCAAATATCTATAAGGTTATTCCGGAAATGAGTCCCATTGTCTGATTCAATTCTCTCTGGGGTGCCGTGTCGCCACAAAATCTGTTTCTCAAGGCCCAGGATAGTGTTCCGGGCAGTGGCATGGGGCACAGCGTATGTTTCCAGCCACCCGGTGGTTGCTTCCACCATGGTAAGCACATGGCGCTTGCCTTGGCGGGTTGGTGGCAGTGTGATATAGTCAATCTGCCAGGCCTCCCCATATTTATACTTCAACCATCGTCCTCCATACCAAAGAGGCTTTAACCGCTTGGCTTGTTTAATTGCAGCACATGTTTCACACTCATGAATAACCTGGGCAATAGTGTCCATTGTTAAGTCCACCCCTCGGTCACGGGCCCATCTGTATGTTGCATCTCTGCCCTGATGGCCTGAAGTGTCATGGGCCCACCGGGCCAGAAATAATTCACCTTTATGTTGCCAATCTAAGTCCATCTGAGCCACTTCAATCTTATCCGCTTTATCCACTTGTTGGTTGTTCTGGCGTTCCTCAGTGGCCCGACTCTTGGGTACATGGGCATCTACATGACGTACCTTCACCACCAGGTTCTGCACCCGGGCAGCAATATCTTTCCACAGTGCAGCAGCCCAGATGGGTTTACCTCTGCGTTGCCAGTTGTTCTGCTTCCATTGCTTCAACCACCCCCACAGGGCATTTGCCACCATCCATGAGTCAGTATAGAGATAAAGTACTGGCCACTTTTCTCGTTCAGCAATGTCCAGGGCCAGCTGGATGGCTTTCACCTCGGCAAATTGACTCGATTCACCCTCTCCTTCAGCAGTTTCTGCAACTTGTCGTCCAGGACTCCATACAGCTGCCTTCCATCTCCGATGCTTTCCCACAATACGGCAAGAGCCATCAGTAAACAAGGCATACTGCTTTTCACTTTCTGACAGTTTATTATATGGTGGGGCCTCTTCAGCACGCACCACCTCCTCCTCTGGTGACATTCCGAAATCTTTGCCCTCTGGCCAGTCCATGATGACTTCTAGAATGCCTGGACGACTGGGATTTCCTATTCGAGTTCGTTGTGTAATTAGTGCAGCCCATTTACTCCATGTAGCATCAGTTGCATGATGTGTAGAGGAGACCCTGCCTTTGAACATCCAGCCCAGCACGGGCAGCCGGGGTGCCAGGAGGAGCTGTGCTTCAGTGCCAATCACTTCCGAAGCAGCTCGAACCCCTTCATAGGCTGCCAGTATCTCTTTCTCAGTTGGGGTATAGCTGGCCTCAGATCCTTTGTATCCCCGACTCCAAAAGCCGAGGGGTCGACCTCGAGTCTCCCCTGGAGCTTTCTGCCAGAGGCTCCAGGTAGGACCGTTCTCCCCAGCTGCAGTGTACAGCACATTTTTTACATCTGGCCCGGTCTGGACTGGTCCAAGGGCTACTGCATGAACTATCTCGCGTTTAATTTGCTCAAAGGCTTGTTGCTGCTCAGGGCCCCATTTAAAATCATTCTTCTTCCGGGTCACATGATAGAGAGGGCTTACAATCGAACTGTAATTTGGGATGTGCATTCTCCAGAACCCCACTGCACCCAAGAAAGCTTGCGTTTCTTTCTTATTAGTTGGTGGAGACATTGCTGTTATCTTGTTGATCACATCTGTGGGGATCTGTCTACGTCCATCTTGCCATTTTATTCCCAAAAATTGAATCTCCTGTGCAGGTCCCTTGACCTTACTCCGTTTTATGGCAAAACCGGCTTTCAGCAGGATTTGGATTATTTTCCTCCCTTTCTCAAAGACTTCTTCCGCTGTATCGCCCCACACAATAATGTCATCAATGTATTGCAGGTGTTCTGGAGCTTGCCCCTGTTCCAGTGCAGTCTGGATCAGTCCATGGCAAATGGTAGGGCTGTGTTTCCACCCCTGGGGCAGTCGGTTCCAAGTGAACTGGACACCCCTCCAAGTAAAAGCAAACTGTGGCCTGCACTCTGCTGCCAAAGGAATGGAGAAAAATGCATTGGCAATATCAATCGTGGCATACCACTTGGCTGCCTTTGACTCTAGTTCATACTGAAGTTCTAGCATGTCCGGTACGGCAGCACTCAATGGTGGTGTGACTTCATTCAGGCCACGATAGTCTACTGTTAGTCTCCATTCTCCATTAGACTTTCGCACTGGCCATATGGGGCTATTGAAGGGTGAGCGGGTCCTGCTGATCACCCCCTGACTCTCCAGTCTACGGATCAGCTGATGGATGGGAATCAGGGAGTCTCGGTTGGTGCGATATTGCCGCCGGTGCACTGTTGTGGTCGCAATTGGCACTTGTTGTTCTTCAACTTTCAGCAACCCCACAGCAGAGGGATCTTCTGAGAGACCAGGCAAGGTGGACAGCTGCTCAATTTCCTCAGTCTCCAAAGCAGCAATACCAAAAGCCCACCGGTACCCTTTTGGGTCTTTGAAGTACCCTCTCTTGAGGTAGTCTATGCCGAGGATGCATGGAGCCTCTGGACCAGTCACAATAGGGTGCTTTTGCCACTCCCTCCCAGTCAGGCTGATTTCAGCCTCCAGCACAGTCAACTCTTGGGATCCTCCTATTACTCCAGAAATATAGATGGGTTCCACCCCTTGACAGCTTGATGGCATCAGGGTACACTGTGCACCGGTATCTACTAGAGCCTTATACTTCTGTGGGACTGATGTGCCAGGCCATCTGATCCACACAGCCCAGTAAATCCGATTGTCCCCTACCTCCACCTGGCTGGAGGCAGGGCCCCTCTAATGGTCGTCACAGCATTGGATACTTAAGTCGTGTTGAAAGGGATTATTCTTCGTTATCACAGGAGCTGGAGTAAAATCAGCTCTTCCACTCCATCTGGGAAACTGCTCACCAGAGACTGAAGCCGTAGCTCTCATGGGACGATCAGTCTTGGCCCTTGCTCCCCTCTTCAGTTCACTCACCCGTTCCTCCAAAGCTGAAGTAGGTTTTCCATCCCACTTTGTCATGTCTTCTCCGTGATCCAGCAGGTAAAACCATAGGGTACCCCGTGGCGTATACCTTCTGTATCTCCTCTCTTGAATAATAGGACGTCTTTTGTTAATAGCTGAGACATGTGTTGGTACACGTGAGGAGCTGGATAAATCAGATAGATCGTCCCTCAATTTGTCGAGGTCCTGGGACAGTTTTTTCACAGCTGAGATGATGGAAGGAGTGAGATTGTCTTCGAACTCTCGGAGTTTATGAACCATTTCATCCACTGTTAGTGGTACTATGTCATTCCAGGTCACTGTTGCCAATGAATGGGCATATGATGACGGTGCATTCCGTGTAAGTTTTCGCCACATGGGTCGTGTACATTCAACTTCATCTGGATCTATAGGTGTATCCCCGTTATTCGGCTTGATGTGATAGATCATCTCTATGATGGCCGATTCCCTCAGAGACTGGATGCCTTTGTCTATAGTAGTCCACTTGGCCGAACGACTCGTAACATCGTCCTTGTACGGAAACCTTTCTTTCACAGCTGCCAAGAGCCTCCTCCAAAGGCTGAGGGACTTTTTCTCTCTTGCAATTGCTTTGTCAATTCCCCCTTCTCTAGCAAGTGATCCCAGCTGCTTGGCTTCTGTACCTTCTAGTTCGTGACCATCGGCCCCATTGTCCCAGCATCGGAGTAACCAGGTGATGATGTGCT